ACTTTAATATTGAGAATAATAGATGTTTATTCTTAATACAAAACGCTTAAAAAATCCACTCGGTCCCTGGCACCCTGAGATGGGTATCGAACCCACGACCTTTCGCAATCCGGGCGACTGCTCTAACCACTGAGCTACCCAGGACCTAACAGGACTGACGAATCTTTCAAGCACTTGTTACTTTTCGCTACTACAGAGCGTATTCTCATCAATTGATTTGATTATAATATTTGATCAATTTCGCATTGACAATGCTATACTGGAAAATATTGTGAATGAAAAATAATTTCCACTTTGTCCCTCTCAGAGTTTGTATTGCGTCCCTTGTGGGGATTATAAGTGACTTTTTTTAAGTATTTTACGTTAATAATATAATAGATGTTTATAAGTACTTTTTATAAATAATAAGTGGATTGGAATATGTACTTAAATTACTCAAGTGTTTACATTATAGTATGTAGGTATACTTGCCTAACAATAACTAGATAAATGGATTAAGTAACTTATACCATATGTACATTACCTACTAGTTTATCCATTTTCCGCTTAAGCCAAACGAGATCAAAATAATGATATGCTATCAAAACAATTTAACCTCACCTTGACAGCACGGCAGTGTCTTGATCAAACATAATTTTGTTGTGGTTAGTCAGTGCGTGCCCTTCGCTTCGCATAAAGCGGTGACATTCGTTGTACAGTTAACCACGTCAGTGTCTGTCAAATTTCTCCAATTGAATTTTAACTTTAATACATTGAAGGTAGATTTCATAATCAACTACGGATAATAAAAAAATAAGACCTCCAAAATTTATGCGTGCCTAAAAATTAATAAACGTACGAGACGACTCCTCTTTTCGACGGTTGAAAATATAAACCTATATCCATAAACAAATAAAATTAAGTTACCAGAATAATGGGAGTAGGTTACTGATCTGAAACGTATACATCAAAATAGACATTCCTTAGGAATTAATTGATTCACAGTGCTATACTGAAAAAAGCTTAAAAAATCCACTCTGTCCCTGGCAAGCTAAGATTATTACGTTTTTTCCGAAACTTAGCTCAAAAAATATTTGAATTTCAAAAGCCTTATATAGCACAATAAAAAATTAATTTAGTTTATCCATAATGATGAATATTATCGATAAACTTTATACTAGATACATAAATAATATTCCATTGGACCCGGATATTCGGAAAAATGTCTTATCCATGTTAATCTTTTTATATTATACAAGAACCAAAATCAATCTACCTACTCCGATAACTGTAAATAACCAATATTTTTTTATTGAATAAAACCACATATAATTAGGTTCTATATAGTTTAATATCAAAGAAATAATACATAAGGAAGAGGTTTCCAATTCTTGTCTTATGAGAATTAGCTAAAAATATACATTATAATTAGGTAAATTAAAAGCTATATTCAAATCAACGTAAATATCATTAGAAAATAACCAAATATGTGAATTATTCAACGAAAATTACAACAGGTCAAGTTTCAGTTTTATTTCTATGCGTTAAGGTTTACATTTGAATCAATTATTCGATTTTAATATCTAATTGCCTCATCATGTAACTAAATAAATGCTGTGACGAGTACATAGAGATGAAATGAAACATAAATGAGTTAATTGAGAACATTTATTTTAAATTACACTCTATTCGGTGACAAATATAACTTTCATCGTTTAAAGTTTGAAAAAAAAATTGAATGCCTTTGTCGAGGATACTTCAAAAGATTTTATGAAACAATGTTTTAAAAATTATAAAATAAATAATTCTCCCGAGTAAAATTCAGTATTTCAAGTTCTGGCCTTTTGCGGGAAATTTAGCTCTTTTTTAATACCGAGTTGCATGCTCCAATAGATAATAAAGAGACCTGAGACAATATAGATTTGAATATTGCAATTACTGGAATAAAAGCCATAACTTCAATCAAACTTGGCTTAAGATGTCGATAAACACAATGGAGGAACCCATGAGTCTACCACCATTACACAATTATCGATTACACAAAATCCCCGTAATTCGAAGAAGCACTTTTCCCATCATACAATTTAACGCATATTGTGTACAAAGTGGTATATCACAATTTTCCTAGTCTACATACAATACATATCGTGTAAAAATATCCATCGAATATGAGATTGTTCTACATGATACAACTACGACAATATTGGGATTATTGACTAGGCAATTGATATTTTTGGCATAAAATAACTTAGAAATAAAATACTTAATATTACTTCGGTTGCAATACAAATAGCTAACCAAAACATTGACATAATGAACTTCCCTGACAGTTATACATAGTTTCAAAATGAGAACGGTGAAGCCTGTACATACGTGACAATATAAAATAGCCCTTACTGTATATAGAAATAGAAATTACAAATAAACTTATTCAATAACTGTAATATAGATTCCTGTCAAACGAATTTGTGGTTTATGGCACAATTACAATAAGTTTTGCTTATTTTTACTAAAATAATTTGTTGGTTCGATTGAAATTCTGGATACGAAATGTCTTTTTTAATTGATCTAATTATTCGTTAAATTAAAATAAATCCATACAATTATACATTTGATTGATCTCTAATCCTCAATAAGTGAATGATATTTTAGTTTGCTACTCTCGATAATGTGAAAATCCATGATACAATCAACATGTTATACATATCTAACAACTTCCTACATTTGATTTTAAACCTTAATCCGGTAACATTAAGGCCAAAATCTATAACGGAAATTTTACACTGGTAAATAACCTGGTGTGTACAATCTACAGGTGAAAGCTTACATATCCTTACTCCTTCGTCAATTGCAGAACTAGAAAATGGAGGGTCACAATATTAAATTTCTTATTACTGTATAAATTTTGGGGCCAGAAAAGGTTATTATTCTTGTAGTGAAACAACTACGCCACTGCTCTTGATCATTATTAAACCCATAACTATCTTACTACCGGCATTCTTAAACAGTCTTTGACTTCAACACATTCCCAAACAAATGTTATGTATGTCCAATTTACAATCGATAGGCACCTATGTAATAACAACTGATTTAATAACTTATCCTCTACAAGAGTTAGAAAAATAATGGTTTCAAACATAAACAAGACATGTTGACTCTCACAAAGGATGTATTATAATTTTTGAATTAACAATGTAACGATCCGTCTATAAAATTGATGCAAGAGTTGCAAGTGAGCTGAAACAGGTTGAGATATGTCTAAAATATATATACAATTTCAACATTTCTTAAACCTAATAGTTATAACAATAAGAGTCAAAATTGTATACATATTTATAAACGTACATATGTACATAACATAAAGCAACACGCCAGATTACTACAAAAAATCAAACAGCTTAAGGCTTGCACTCCATTAGTTTGATCTTTGGTAATAAATTGATGTGCTGTCGCTAGCTCTGACAATGTTATTTTGCTCTCACAGATATCAAGCCCTGTTCCAGATCACTATTGAAAAGAACCCCTATCTATTATCAAGCAGATCTAAGTGATATTATAGATATCATGCCTATAACAATTATGATAATTCTTACATAATGTTCAAGTAAAAATAACAGTTCCAAACACTTATTACGGGTTCGTTTGCTCTGCAAACTTATTGTTCAACAAACAAAAACACTCCACTGTAACAAAGAAAACAACAAAATAATGTGAGAAAATATTGGTATTAAGGTAACCAATTCTTATTCTATGCGAGAAACAAGCTTACCGCGTAACTAAATTTTGGCTTCGATTTAGTTGACATTGGATTCGATCAAAATACACTATGTTCAATACTTTGATTGAACTCGACATAAAAACTGCATTTTGATTATATCAAAATCTGTGGATCTTGGTCACAATAATATAAAATTACTCGCTACTTTTTTACACTATTATTTTTGTTTATCATTAATACTGAAAAACGAATTAAAGTGTTTGTCATCCTATTAACATTATAATGTGAAAGTTTCTATGTTAGGATGTTAAGATATTTGGATGTTTGTCGGTCAATCACGCCGAAACTACTGAACGGATTTGATGAAATTTGGTATACAAATAGGGTATTAGCTGACTTAGATAATAGGATACTTTTTATCCCACTAAAAATTTCCCTAGGGTCCACGCGGGCGAAGTCGCGGGTACTAATAATGCTTAAATACTTTGGAGACAATATTTACCTGTAATTCTGTAAAAATCTAGACTCGAATTCGAAGTCACTCTTGTGTTCGAATTCACGCCATTTAGAGTAGAAATTCTATTGATTCCGATTTTTGTGTAAAAATAAATAACAAAATTGATTGGATATACGTTTCTAAGATATTCTATTCCTATGTCATTTGGAAACTCACTTCACTTATGCCACAAAACGTTATTACCAATTCAAGGAGGAGCGGATGCCGCTTTTTAAAGTGAATTCGAATTCAGGTTTGGAATTTTTACAGAATCGCAGGGCAAATTCGTATAACTCAACAATTTTTTGAAAAGCAGCAACTCGTATATCTGTTAAAACCTTGAAAATAAACGAAATTAAAAAAAAAACACCTAGGTCAGGGGTCGTAACTGTCAAAATATCATACTAAGGTACAAAAAAAGAACTCAATGGTTAATAGTTTTTATTTATTCTCAATACATTAGTCGCAAATATGTGCTTGCCGACCGTTGATTTTAAGTATTTCAATTCACGTTTGTAAAGTTAATGATTGTCATAAAGAAAGTCAGCATTCCGCATACACGTAAAACGAAGCGCATTAATATTGAAAAACTACGATTTGCAATCAAGCACAACAATTTGAAACCTTATTCAAACTCCGATGAGAGGTTCACATCATAAATTTAGTATAGGACTGATTACAATAGCCGAAACCCAGTCATGGAAATGTATGAACCCTGCGCGTAGCGGTTTGGGACTAACATGATATAATTATAGATTTAGTCTTCATATTTCATAGTTCCACCGATTTAAAGACGAGAAAGATTTAGCGTTAGAGCGAAACATTTCATGTTTTATACTTTAGTCAGATTGTAGTACAGTCAACAACATACAAATCTGTCAATTTTTCCCAATCGATTTTAAAACATAATACATTGACTGTAGAGGTCAAAATCCATTGCAGAAATTTGACATATTGTGGTAACCTGACGTGCAGCCGTGCATTCATAGGTAAAACAAAAAAAAAATTGATTCTAAAAATTTACTGATCTTTCGCTTTGGCTATATAACTAATTTACATTGTACAGTTAAAGCCCGCTCGTTAAAGCAATTGACCCATGAAAATAAGCAATTAAGTGGTAGGCACCTCCGCCTTCAAACATCACTCAACAACTTACCACATCTTATTGGAGATTCCCTATGTCTTCCTCGAACAATCGCTTTCCACCTTTAAGTATTTTCTCAGGATCATCACCATGCGTCTTTATGAATTGCTCCAACCTTAAATCAAATAAAGGTAAAGGAACTGACTGGAACAGGGAATACTAGAAGAAGACCTCTTCGGACATAGCACGATTAAATAAGACATGTTAATAAAAGGCTGTTATTTACGAGTTATATTCATGAAGTGTATGTGTATAAATTTGTGTATCTGCTAGACAAATCCAAGAAAGGGTGTTTTATTTAGACCATAAATATACCAACTTATCAAACCTAGTCAGCTGTTTTCCAACCAATATAGCTAGACCTATACTTATCCTACGGAATAACTTACCTAATTAACCATTGAGCCCAATGTTCTCGCAATTTATCAGTCGATAGGTGGTAAGCATCAGCCTTAGATCCGTCAGTGTACGCGATAACAAGCAATGCGTCTCGAACGTTCAAATGTTTATAGTTCAAATCATTGCATACTGCACCGAAGTATGCTGCCAATTGCACAGGGTTATCGTAAGTTAACGATATCGATTTGCGAGGTTTATCCGATTTTTTCCACTCGATTAAAGTCGGTTTATCTCTGGAAGCAGAAAACATAAACTTCTTGTTATTGCACACCCATTTATTTCGGTATTTAATAGTATGACATCCTATTCGTAGATTGTCCATGATTTCAAAGACGTTTCAATATTTCCAAGACTAACAAAAAATATTACTGTATTTTTTAAATGGGCAAAATAATTTAGTTATTATATTACCAACATCTGACACAATCAGTCTTTATAATTTATTTGATATGTGACAAACTTTAATCATCTAAAATTAATAAATAATACATAAATAATGTGGAATATCCACATTAATTAGTCAGTTTTTTGGTAAAGTTTAACGAAGTTCAGTTTAGGTCAGTTCAGAGTACACTCAGATAGAAAATTATAGATATGGCATACCTACCCAATTTCTATACCTTTAGAACGCAAAACCTATATATACTGAGAGTTGATGACTATTTATGACTGCAATTGTTAGTTTGTAAACATACTCATTTGCAACTTTGTTGACTTAGCGTTTTGCCAAGAGGTGAGAATTTTTATGTTGTTATCATTAGAGTTATATAAATTTCAACACAATACACATATGCATAGATTTCAATATGGTATAATATATTCTTGAGATACCAAATGTACGTGTATTTTTATGACAATACGGATAACTGGCCTCGTTCATAGTCAAGGACGACGATCAAAAGTCACTGGACTTGACATTATCAAAAAAAAAGGAATTTCATTTAAAGATAAAAAGCATGTGTAAGTAGAAAGATAGTGTTTATCTGGCGAAATACGTGTTTTGTTTATTACATTATTTGATAACATTCTTGTGGTAATTTGGTAATCAGCCCAACTATATAATAACTTTTTTTTTTTTTGGATAAATAGATTAACTATACCAATGAAAATTACATCATTTTACTTGTTGCCTCTGATAAATATTAAACGATAATCATTATTGGAGAGAATTATTACATTTTGACAACCTACGTGGCTAAATGGCGTCACCATATTTAAGGTGAGGTTGTACGAAACTACTACTTTTAAAACCATTTTATTGTAAGGGTATGCTAACAATTGCCAGATAAAAATAATTTTATTTAAATTAAACATATGAAGAATTGGTTTCATATAAATGAACATTTCATATAAATCCCTTAAATGAACATATTTAAAAACATATTTAAACAGCAGGTCATATGCAATATATAAAATTTCCAAATAGGTAGTTAACTATTTTCTAAATGTTTAAAATAAATAGAGCTAATCTAGAGAAGAGTTAAGTAGTAAATATTGAATAAGTGTTTGTAAAATAACAAAATTAGCTTTAACTAATAATAATCTTCTGCTTTGAATGAAAACAAAACTTGCTTGAGATAAGATTATAAACGGTTACATAATGTTAGAACTGCTAAGTGCTTTTATACTTATATGAATTACGTTAATTAATTATGTAAATATTTGTGTTTTGACGCCTAAAAATTAACCCATAACGGACGCCTCAAAGTTTACCCGTACGGAAGATCCGTTGAGCGTCTAACAGAAGCTTGTGTTAGTATGCAACGGAATTTCTCCTACTTGCTCCTGTTGAGCTCCTATCATCAGATTATGATGATATATATCAAATTATAAGAATTAATAAATCTGTAGTAATTTATAAACTTACTCATAATCTGCAATGGCGTCAAATATGCCTCTGTATTTCAGGACAGGATGTACAACATTGGACTCTATTGCCTTGGGAGAAGAAATACTTTTGAGCACATCAGCAACTGACACCCATACTCCTTCTACTTCTTTATCAATGCGTAATTGAGTTTGGGGTTGTGTGAAGTAATTCTTCAATGTAGTGTGAAATTTGGTGCCGACTGCCATTTGTGCTGTGAAGGAAATTAAAAGAAAAATTAATAAGACACTGACATTTTCAGTGGGCCACAGAATACATCTACTTTTTGATTACTTTTAGTTATATTTGGGCATGAGCATACCAAGCATTTATTTAGGGGTGGGCGGTAAAATTTAAGAAACTCAATTAAAAAAAAATTATTAATATATGCATTGGTTCCTTATACACCCCTTAATTCTAAAATGAAACAAAAATGTAATGTTTGTTGAAGTTTATTAACATCTTTTCATATTTCATATCAACATACAGTTCATAATTAAATTAAAAAAAAAAAAAGAATATTAATAGATGCACATTGTAATGTCAGTAATAAGTATAATTATAACCAATTTTGAATCAAGGTTATTGATTTATTTCAATGACCTGCATGAATTCTGGCATTCAATATTAGCTAAAATTCTGTTACCTTGAATTGGCTTCAAGTTAAGATTGAGGGTGGGGCTAGCTAAACCTTACACAACTGTGAGTATGCCCTTGCTATCAATAGCCGAGTTTTAAGTATGGATACTGGAAGTATGATATGCCTAACACATGGATTTGAGTATTTCTATCCATAACATTAGTTATCTATCACACATCACAGTTTTATAGACAAATTGTTTTTGTAGCAAAACTTAACAAGAGAGCACTACCTGTTCATAAAGGAATTATGAAAAATTGTGTAACTAGTTTAACATCTACTAATATTATAAAAAGGAAAGATTTCACTTTTTTGCACTGTATAGAAATGACTGGACCGATTTTAAAAATTCTTTCACCTATGAGAAACTACTTCATATATGGGTGACATATGTCAATAAAATAAGCGGGTGAAGTCGTGAAAAATGGTAGCATTGAATAATTTGGTTATTTAATACATCAACATCATAACCATATGAGACATTAAATTGTGAAGGACACAAAACAATCAATTATTTTAGTTAACTTATTAAGGAATGCATCATTAAGATTATTTAAATGAAGAGTATTTCGAAGAGAAGAGTATTTATAAAGAAATATGAAAGCAGTAGAAATAACTGAATGTTATTTGTTGGAAAAATAAAAAGTAAACACAAGATCAGTAAGATGTGTCTCTCTAAACAAGACTTCAATTGATGAATCGAGATCAATCGATCGAATAAGATTACAACCTTCAATTGATATTTTAGTGACAGTTGTATTAACAATGACCTTAACAAAATTCACCTTGAAGTAACAATTTAGCTGTTGCAGTCAAATCATAATTGAATGTGCTCAGTGCTCTTTTTATTCACTAATAAGAGACATCTATGAGCATTATATTTATGAAGGACTAGCTTTCCAACAGCGGCTTCACTAGCATGATCCTTAGGGAACTGTTTAGTGGGATGTTAATTATCCGAATAAAAAGTTCCATCAATTAGTTATGAGTAAGGAGTTTTGTGTCTCAACTAGACAAATATACAAACTTATACAAAAAATATCATCAAATAAATGTACAAAATTATCCATAATATAATATCAACATACCTTCATAAAATTTATTAAATTCTTCTAATCCCATTTCAGCTATTCTTTCTTGCTTCCATTTTTCTAAAGCATTTTTGGAATCCTCAGTCATAGTTTTATTCAATATCAGAGTGACAGATGGGTATTGCTTGGTGAAATCATTTTGATGTGGTTTAATTTGAAGGATTCTATCTTCACTAGCATATCCCGGCTCAGCAGGGGAACTTCGAGCGGCATTGCACGGAGTGAATGTCTTCAACCCCCTACAGGTTGTATTATTAATCATAACCCCAACTAAGCTCACTAAATTTCTACTATTCTGCCACATTTTTCTTTTTAATAATGCCACTGGGAGAAATGGATTACAATTAAAGTAATCAGTCAAAACCACATTTTCTTTGCCACTTTTTAAGTTAGACGTATTTTCGTTAGACGATGTCGCGTCGTTGTTTTGATGTGAAATTCTATTTTTAGCTGGAACACACAGATAAAATTATATTAGATACGCACGTGTATACTTCTCGGCGCCGGGCGTCATATGATATAAATTGGCAACACACGAAACGAAGCTTATTACTATGCGATACACATTGCGAAAGGAAAGTAATTGAACAAAAATAAGGGGCGTGTGCTTATACCGGTTCTGTGATAGATTTTAGCCGGACAGCGACGTTGATCCGCAGTCCACTATTTCCTCGTGCCTACGAAGCCCGATTTAGCTGATAATAGAAAGTTGAAATGCGTTCACAAGGTCACAGAAACCATACAACGCGATTGTACACACCTGATTTTTGCGATCGCTGTTTCTTTTGCTTGCTCGTTTCTAGTAAAGGTCCAAACAAGTCTTTGTTTTCTCTATTGTATAATTTAAGTTTTTCTGCAGGTTTCAGGAGAGAACTAGGATAAACTACTTTGTTCCTAATTAATTCTTTGCATTTTTTGTCGCAAGTTATTCGGCGACCGATAGTAGAAATAGGTCGCAGCATCCCGAATTTATATATTTGTCGTCTGACAAGGAATTTCGTTAATTGGTTTCCTAAATTAAACAGGAAGGTACTGAATATGTTACAAAGTCAGTTAGATATAAACGTTTTATTTTCAACAAAACTAAAAACCTCACAAACTAGCAAAATACAATTGAACAACTTAGTGACATTTGACATTTTTTGACAACTTACTAACTTCATTCTATCATCATGTTCCATCATTCATTCATATCACATTGACACATCATTGTCAAGCTTAACTCTCAAAGAGTTTCTTCTTAAATAGCATGCTTTTGTAAAGCCAGCTATAAATGAAGCCAAATAAAAGTAAATAAAATATTTAAAATTACTCTGGTTTCCCTTCAAAAGGCACGCACAAATAGTTTAGAACGAATTTATTTTTTTATGCGGAACCAAAGCGAAAAACGAAAAACTGAATCCTTTTAAGATCATTCTGTTTTCTGTCTTTCAATGAGGAAGTATTTTAAAAAAACAAACGAAAGCACTAAAAAAGCACCTCTTCTAGATGGCGACTGTAGCAAAAGTTGATTTTTGCAGGAAACGAATGGACCAATGGAACAAGAGGATTTTTTAAGCATTTTGTATTAAGAATAATATCACTACAGTTTTTTCACCACAAACAAAATAAATATCAATTAACGTTATAAATTATTAACGTTAGAAAAATTTACAACACAAAAAAACAAGATTGTCATAACGCATAATATTCAGTGATAGACAACTTTACTATGTTTTCTTTTTTTATAGTATTTTCTTTACTTATATTATAAAGAGGAAAGATTTGATTGTTTGATTATTGTATGTTTGTTTGTTTGCAACGAATAGGCTCCAAAACTACTGGGCCGATTTTAAAAATTCTTTCATTTAGATATCATATGCGGTGAACATAGCTTTTATCCCGAAAAAGGGCAATTAAAGGTATGAAATGGGAATCGAAATTTGTATATGGAATTAAAACATTATCATATAATCCATTGTTTACGGTTCAATTTGTCATGGTAATGAGGAAGTATATCCGTGTCATGATATTAAATCTTATACAAATGATTTACTTAATTAAATTGCTAAAATAACAAAATAAGCTTGGATTGAGTTTATTATGGGCTACTTTTTATCCCACTAAATAGTTATCTAGGGACTAAACAGCAAGAATATCATAAAAACAATGTTTTTAATAGTTGCCTTTGACTAGTTAGACCAAAGAGTAGTATTATATGTTAGACGTCTTATCTAATTCAGAAACATGTATCGACAACTTTAGTTTTGATACTAGCGCCATCTAAGAGAAGTTATAGAACTTCTACATTATCAAAGTATGTAGCTTATATCAGTTCTAAATGATTTTTATAGATGGCGCTAGTTAATCCTTCTTTGCAACAACATCTTCGAGTGACAACAAATCAAAGAGTACCTAGCATTATTATAACAGATACTTGTGAGAGTGGTGAGAAAAAGTAGCTACTTTGATTATAATATCATAGGAAATATTCCGTACATATATGTAAGATGAAATAAATTACTGTTTTTTATTGTTAGATATCCTTTTTATCAAAACTAAAAAGGCGGTTAGAAATCCAACCAACTTAAAATACACTTGTAGTCGGTATTTTTTTTATTGATGTTACTTGCAAACCGTTACGATTAGGTCGGCTCAATAAAACTTTGCACCCTAAGCAAAACACTGGAACTTGACGTCCTAGGTAAAACATTCAATAGCATTCAAATCACAAGAAAAAAAAGACTACAATAAATTAGATACACCGATTAAAGAATCTAATTTTGCCAATGAAAAAAATCTATGATCTGAAAATTTCATACTTTAGAATACTGCCAACATCTTCAAACAAACGTATTTTTTAAGGTAGGTACCGCAAATAATTAGTTAAAAGATAATTTGTTTGCCATGCCTTGCCGCCCCCAATTATTATAATGCCCGCCTATTTATTCCGGAATCTAAAACATCTCTGAAATTAATCACATTCTTTTTATATCCGATTTGTATTTATGCCATTTTGGTTATTTTTAAAATAATACTCACTTTATTATGTTATATAATATTTTAATTTATATTTACCTTGATTTAGCCCCGCCTAGTTTACCTATATGGACGGGCCGGCCCTGTAAGAAATGTTGTATATAAGTAGTCCTGGCTTGCAAAGTATGTTTATTAAAAAAAAAAGAGAAAATTCCGAATCTTTTTTATAATTTTGTACATCAAAGGCATTATAAATTATAATAATAAAATAAATTCTCTATCGAAAAATGCGTTTCATCGGAGTCGTACTTATTTAGTATATCGAATAGACGTTATTTCGTTTTTTAAGAAAAAGACAGACCTTCAGGTGTCATTTAATTCGTAATATCTATAGCATTTGTTACGAGAAGAAATCGAAAAATGGTTTTAATGATCGGGACAGTTTTTCGGAAAACTACTCTCCCAAAAAACAAATTAAAAATAATTATATATTAGTTCACTAACAGTTAAAGTTGGCCCATTGTAGGCCCATAAATCCAACGATGGGTCAACCTAATCTGTTACTAGGGCAGTACATGCGATTAGTATCGAGTAAGAGCGGTATGGTTATTACATCTCTCTCTCTCTCTCTCTCTCTCATTATTACCCTATGTTAATTCATGCCCAACTGTAATCCCTTACCAAAGATTAGTTTACTTACACAGTGAGACTTGATAAAAGCGTATGTTATCCCAATAGACCCTCATTTGCATTAATTACTAGCCAAGACAAATGTTGTGAAAGGAAATCCGTTAAAGGTTTGGTTATTCGCATGTTACATACGTATACTCTTGGGATATGTTAATCTGTTTCTCCGAAAACGGAATTTCGTCTATTTTCGGAACGCTAATATTTTTAAGGGTTTAATAAAGGTCTCGATTTCAGTTTTCATTTATGTCGACCCCTGGAAAACCGAACCAGACCCAAAACAGTCGATATCGATCACTTTGGGAGTCGCTTGTTTACATCTATACAGTTATTAATAAACAAGGTTTAGCATTCACATCACCAGGCCTTTTACGTTCCCACTGCAGGGGCTCGGGCCTTCCTTATGTTAAGGATGGTTAAGGAGGATGGGCCATGACCCTCCACGCTGACCCAATGCGGATTGGAGGGTATTGACGACTGCAAATGCAGCCGGGACCAACGGCTTAACGTGCCTTCCGAAGCACGGAGTAGCTCGAGATAATAATTTTTTGGTCACCCATCCCGTGACCGACCCTTGCGAAAGTTGCTGAACGACTACGATCGCGGGCCGCGGCGCTTATCCACTACGCCACCGAGCTACTCTAAAATTAATGCTGGGATTGCACTTAGTATTTGTTAAAATTCATATTTTGCACAGATTTAGCAAAGGTTTAACCTAGTAGTAGGTTTTACAGGAGTATTATATACTCCAAGAAGGTAGTCCAAGAAATAGGTTTGGTTTTCCCTGTATAATATGAATTTTGACTAATACTTAATTGCAATTTTAGCGTAAATTTACTCTGACGCTTAACCTTGTTTAATAATAGCACTGATAATGTTTAATAGGTACCTACGCAAATTGGTAGATAGGTATTATTTGCATTAACTACTAGCTTTTCGCCAGTGGCTTCGCTTGGTCCCTAGGGAACTGTTCGGATTTCATATAATTACGATAGCAAATTGAATAGTAATGAATGGATGCTGTGGAAACGTTTTGATTCCCCATACAAACTTTCACTTCCATTTCCATCCATTCCGTTTTTTAGGATAAAATATAGCCTATGTTGACCGCATATAGTGTATCTTTCCAGTAGGTAAAAGAATTTTTAAAATCGGTCCAGTAATTTCGGAGAATATTCGATGCAAACAAACATACAAATAAAAAAATAATAATAATCAAAGTCTTTCCTCTTTATGATATTATGTATAGATATAGATAAGACACAAATCACGTAGGGGAAGATTGGGACCATTCGTACACTCTTCCTTAGTCCATGACTTTTACATCATTGAGGATCAGAAGATAAATTACTGAAGTATCTATTAAAACATAAAGCATACGTTCTGCTCACTTATGAAAAAAGTTCAAAGTCGATATCTTGTAGAATAGATCAATGGATGGAAATTTACCACAAGCTCATGAATGTCCGAATCTGCCCCTATTACGACGTACAATCGTACATGGGCAGGGGAACATTCAAACACTGTGGTAACTTAATATATATTAAGGAAAACAACATATTTAAAAAAATACTCTCGAAATTCTTTAAAATTATGTAATCGATATATCGCACACCTAGATCTAAACTAAGACAACTCAAAAAACTAATGTGGAGGTCTGACAATACATTTGTTTACGTGGCAGGAACGCGACCACTGTTGATTCGACAAAAGAAAGCTAAAGTTATCTAGCGGCTCATCCCCGAACCTTTATTGAATATGTTATATTGGATAGATGCATATAATCACCGAGAATTTGAATATTGTACAAAGCAAAACTCACTCAAATTTTTGAGTTGTCTCAGTTTAGATTTAGGTGTGCGATATATCGATTCATAGTAAATACAATGATTGGAAGACAGATATTCAAACTGTTAAATATAATATTAATAATATTGGATTAAAGTTTCAGTGGCCCTTTAAAAACTGTGATTCATAAATCTCTGTTCTACTCTACTGTATTAACAGAGGACGAATGTCCGTGATATATCGAATGTCTTATATTGTTTTAAACTTTCATGGTCATTAACATCAGAGTGATTGCTCTGAACAGTGGTACGGGTATCGAACTAGAAAGAAGGTAGATAGATATTCTGCCTATGACACCCACCCGCAATTACTTAAGTCAGTTACTCCGTGATTATGGCTTTTGCAACAGCGACTTAATATCGGGAACTCGTAAAATATAAGATATTAGCTGTTTTCCCATGACTATGCACATATGAAATATAGCAGATGTCATCCTCATATGACGCAGTTAACCGTAGATGAAAGATTTTTTTTAAATCGATCCAGTAGTTTTGGAGCTAATGAGGAAGTATTAAAAAAAAACGAAAGCTCTAATAAGCCCCTCCACAGATGGCAACTCTAGCAAAAGTAGATTTTTGCAGGAAACGAATGGACCAAAAACAGTCATTGGAAATGT